TCTCATGCTATTTTTCCGTTCCAGGGCCCACTGCTCCTGTCCTTTGAGGAGGATGTGCAGCAACAGCCCCTGGAGCTGGCAGTGCAGGACGTCTCCAGTGTGATCAGGTCGGCCCAGGAGAAGGTGAGCTGAAGGTCACCCTCCATGGCCTTTCCTACAAGAAGAAGTGAATTTAAAGCTGGGGGTGGGGAAGTTGTTGTGTTTTAGAATTATTGAAAATGCAGAGCCCTTATACCAGAAAAGAAAGGGGGGGTCAGAGATCTAGCCCATCAGCTGATGAGTGGATCAATAAAATGTAGTATATCCAACATAATGGAATATTATGCAGCCTTGAAAAGGAAGGAAATTCTGCTACATGTTATACCATGGGTGAATCTTGCAAACATTATGCTGTGTAAAAGAAGGCACAGAGAAAAAGCCACATATTATGTGACTCCATTTATATGAAATATCCAGAATAGATAAATCAATAGAGACAGAAAGCAGATTAGTGTTGCCAGGGGCTAGGTGGGAAGAGGTATTGGGTGAAAATGGATTCTGACTGCTAATGGGTACAGGGTTTCTTACTGGGTGAGGAAAATGTTCTAAAAGTAATGGTGGTGATCGTTGAACAACTATAGGAATATATTAAAATTTTTTGAATTATACAGTTTAAGTGAGTGAATTATATAGTACATAAATTATATCTCAATAAAACTGATATATATTTATGAGGGTACTTCAAAAAGTTCATGGAGAATAGAATTAAAAGATAATTCAAATCTTTCCATGAACTTTTTGAAGTACTCTTACATAAAGTCTGCCACATGATGTATATGTTTGCACTATATAGATACTATGTAGAATTCATTTCCCTGTTGCTAATAGTTCATGGGCCAAACTTAACCTGTTGTACTGGTCAGATACTATAAATTATAAAAAAGCTTCTGTAACAAGTCCTAGAAACTTTGTCTTAAACACAAGGCTTACCTTTGTATTTATTATATCATCATTGATATTATTATTATTATTATTATTATTATTATTATTATTATTATTGTATAAGTACATTTCTTACTCTTGGGCTCTGAATTTTTTTTCCATTATTAAAAATGATTTATTTGCCAGTTTTATTCAGTATCACTCCCAAATCCAAAGACCTGCTCTAAATGGAGACATAAAATCCTCATTGGCTGCTCGATGCACCAGATTTGTAGTTTACAGTCTAGAATTGCAATTAGACATGAGGGTATGGTCTAATTTTAGAAGGAAAAAGGGAATCAGCCAGTGTTGTTTTTTTCATAACTCTTGCATGTATATTTTTCATGAGGATATATTTTTAGACATCAGCTATAGTGCAGTCCTGTCCTCCGTTCCTTCTCTTCCCACCTCCAGTGGTGACCATTCTTCTAAAGTCGGGCTGCTCTTTTCTTCATTCTTGGCCTTGTGTTTACACTTTACATGTGTGTGTTTTAAAGATGCTATGCGATGTTTATGGGTCTATCTGTATTTTTTTATCGGGTTAATCAAGCATATACCATTTAGCAGATGGTGGAGAAGACACACCTGTGCGTCCCTGGGTCAACAGTGACAGCATTGCCAGCCCTCAAACCCCACCTCTCCTGTATCCCTGTCACAGCTGGGGTATTGTTTGTGCATTTAAAACTTTTATCATTTCTTATGCACAATTTTTCAACAAGCTTTCTCTATATAGAACACTGTCATTTCGAGACTCATCTAGGTTGATTTACATAGGTCTAGTTCATTTGCTTCAACTACAGTTCAGGATTCCAGATGAACCAGGGCTCATATACTCATCTTCCACTCTTGGATAATTAGGTTGTTTTCTCTTCTTCGCAAGTACAAAGGACGACGCTGTGAGCGTGCGTGTTGTGTGTTTCTGTCTCCCAGCTCCTCAGGCACAAGCACAAGAGTATCCCTAGGGAAGGTATAAGCTTGCTGTGTCTTAGGCATTGTGAAATATGTATTTGATCTTTGTCCTCATTTCCTGGCATACGACTTTCAAAATCCTTGGAATCTCCAAAGTGATAAATGTCTTTTTTGGATGCTAAGGAGTTGACTGATGGCTGGCATCCCCTAGGTGGCTTTAGGATGGGGGCTGGCCACCAGGAAGACCAAGGCAAAACCAGACAATTGGTACTTGAAGTCCAATTGACTGTTGATTACCAACGGCCAGTGCCTTAGTCAATCATGCCTACATAATGAAGTCTCCATAAAAACTCAAAAGGATAGAGTTCAGATGAGCTTCGGATAGCTGAACAGGTGGAGGTTCCTGGAAAGTTGTCCCCCAGCGAGAGCAGACAAGTTCCACACCCCTTCCCCACACCTTGCACTGTGCATCTTTTCATCTGTGTCCTTCATAATATCCTTTATAATAAACTGGTAAATGTAAGTGTTTCCCTGAGTTCCGTGAGCTGCTCTAGCAAGCTAATCTAACCCAAGGGGAGGGTTGTGGAACCCCAGTTTATAGCCAGTTGGTCAGAAGCTTATGTAAAGCAACCTGGGGCTTGGGAATGGCATTGGAAATTGGGGGCAATCTTGGGGATGGAGCCCTCAACCTGTGGGATCTGATACTATCTCAGGTAGATGAGTGTGAGTGTGGAGAACATGAAGCCTGAGGGGTCCGAGGTCCTCAGAGCATCAGAGCAACTCTTACCAACTCAGATCCTGTGCTCACCTGTGGCTGTGGGAGACCCTCTGGGGTCTGCCTAGGCTCCTGAGAAAGATAAGTGGGAGGAGGACACCCTCGGGTGCTTGGATCCTGTATGTGGCCTTTTCCATTCTTGGACGAGCATCTTGGCCAACCATGGCATAGTTTTATGGCACCTTTTTGCAAAGGAATCTAGCCAATTTAATCATCATTTCTCTCATAATGTGCCCCAGGTAGAACATTACTTAACATTCATGCATTAAATGAAGATGATAAGACATTGGGGCCTCTTTAATATTATTCCAGGAGTTAGTGTTCTAGGACTGCTGTGTAGGTTGATACGCTTACAACGGTGTCCTTCTTTTTTAGTATCTAAACCACACACCCCCACAGGTTCCAAATTTGTATTGAATTCTATGTCAGCATTATCATATAATCTCCTTGCTCTGCATAACTCTTGAGAAGGAAAAAAACTGTAACAGAATTCGAGGACCCCCATAAAAGGTATAAAATAAATACAAACTTCTGGTTTCAAAGGCACTATGCACCCCCTCCCCCAAGCTTCCTCCAGAGTGTCACTTTGTATCTTTCTCCCCTTTCTAACCCATCCTTGACAAGAAACATGTGGTCGGCACTTGAGCTGAGATAGGGACAAATCCTCCTGCACCAAGGGGTTCTGTGATATGATAACATCTATGATTGACTGGAGAGGAATGAGGACTGGCCAGCCTGAATTTCCATGTGCTCTCTGTGCACACGCCCCGGACTGGTGTTCAGGCTTGAGTCACCAGCCAGCCCCTCACAGAACAGATCTGCCTGCCCTGCTCACTGGGGTGCCCTGAACTTGGTCTTTCTCCTGCAGTCCCTGAAGACCCCTGGGCGTCAATGTAGTCGCCTTTGCAAATATCTGCTTCATTAGCAAACCCTTTCTGCACCCTGAGACAGAGAGTGGGGTCTTGCATAGCTCGGGGCAGTCTGAGTCACCTCCCAGGACCAATGACAGCTGCAAAACCCACAGCCTTCCAGCCTTGTCTGAGTCAGGAATGGTCTGCATTGTGTCACTCGCAACACTTTTGACTCGAAATGTGGATTTTTTTCATTCTAACAACTGATTCTCCAACTCTCTGACACCAGCTGGGTGGCCTAAAATCCAATTCATTTCTGACACTACCCAGAGTTAGCGCAGACACCATAGGTCGAGGGCTCAGTCCCACAAGACTGCCCCCAATTCAGACACAAGTTGCAGGTTCTAGGTTGCCACCTGTACTTCTGACCAAGTGGCTATAAATCAGAGGTTCCCATAAATCCTTTCTCAGGTTTAATAACTTGCCAGAATGGCTCACAGAACTCAGGAAAACAGTTTACTTACTATTAATGGTTTATTATAAAGGATAATACTCAGGAACAATCAAAAGAAAGAGATGCATAGATGTGGGGGAGGGGACTGCACGGAGCCCCATGCCCTCCCTGGGCAAGCCACCCTCCCAGTGCCTTGGTGTATTCCCCACCTTGGAAGCTCCCTGAACCCTGTCATTTAGGGGTTTTTATGGTGGCATGATTGATTACATCACTGGCCATTGGTGACTGAATTCTACCTCCAGCCTCTCTTCCCTCCCTGGAGGTCAGGGTGGGGTAGGGCTGAAAGTCCAACCCTCTAAGCATGCCTTGGTCCTTCTGGTGATCAGCCCCATTCTGAAGTTATCTAAGGGTCCCCAGACATTGTCACCTCATTAGCATGCAAAANCAGCCCCATTCTGAAGTTATCTAAGGGTCCCCAGACATTGTCACCTCATTAGCATGCAAAAGACACTCATCACTGGGAAGATTCTGAGGGTTTATTTATGACAAGCAGCAAGCCCTGCAGGAGTTGTGGCATTTTCTTAAGGGAATTCTCCTTGTGGCCACGGCTCACTGTACAGGCACGACTGCTGGCTTGTTGGGAGAGGCATTCCTGGTGGGGTGCTGTGCACTGAATGCATGGCCTTTAAACTTTTCTGCGGGGGCTCACTCTGCTCTCTTCTAGTCTCAACATGTGTGAATACTTTTATTTCTCCTAGACTTTAATTACGCTTTTACGCAAGAGCAACAAGTTTCTACCTATGTTCTCTTTCCTCACGTCCTGGGAGAGGTTTGACCCAGAAAAGGGGAATCTTGATTTCCACGTCTTAAGCAGGCTGAGAGCCAACCCTTCCTCCACAGAGTGCAGCCACAGCCCTTCCAGGGCACGCAGTGGGTCAGATGCATCACGCTTGATCCTGTGCTGGCACGAGGTCGGCAGGTGCACCATGGAGACTCATCAAGGAAAAGATTGACCATGAATTAGGGTCAGGGATTGTGCTGTGGAAGGCCATGCACTGGGAAGGTTTACATTTCTTTTAGGAAGCATGATAAGTGTCTCTTCGAAAGTAATGTTTATTTGGAAGACTTACAGATTTTTCCAAATTCCAGTGGAGGCAGGAATCGAGCTGGGAGC